ATCAAAGTCTATTGGGGTGGAGGTTCATATAATTCACATCTTCCAGTTTTCACCCAACACTTCCAATTTAGACTCACTTAAATGCCCGCAGGTTTATTTATTTTCACATACTCTTACCATTTATATCCTGAACTTACACTCCACTGGCAGGGAGACTGTAGGAGGTAACAACTCAGAGCCCAATCACTATGTTGGAAGCTTGCTTTTAATTGGGGCCTCATTCTTTTTCTTTTTCTTTTGGTTATGTGAAGCTTGGAGATGATGGGCCAAATTCTGTCAGTGTGTGTTGAAAGGCTAAAAGGGAGGAGTGTGGCCAAAAAGAAAAGAAAAGGGGCAAGCAGAAGGGGTTGTATGTTTAAGTAATAAACCCTATTGAAAGTTATAACTTTTCTACAACCTTTTCTAGCTCCTTGGTGTTTTAATTAAACCAACTTAGACATCCGTATGCGCACACATTGGTAAATGGAAATAAATATGTGTAAGGGAATTTAATTTACATATTACACATCATCTGTTGATAGGATTGCCAACTTTCTACTGGCACAAACCCAAACACCCTTGCCCCACCCCTTCTCTGAGGCCCCCCCCCGCTCACCTCATCCTCCCCTCCCTCTGTTGCTCACTCTCCGCACCCTCGCTTGCTCATTTTCACCGGGGTGGCTCAGGAGGCTGGGGTGTGGGAGGGAGTGAGGCTGCGGGGTGGGGCCAGGGATGCGGGATTTGGTGTGCAAAAGGGGGTTCCGGGCTGGGGGGTGGAGCTGAGGGGTTTGGAGTATGGGGGGAGGGGGGAGCTCCAGGCTGAGGCTGGGGTTAGGGTGTGGGCTCTGGGCTGGGAGTGTGGGTTCTGGGGTAGGGCCAGAAATGAGGGGTTCAGGGTGTAGGAGGGAGCTCCGGCCTGGGGCAGGGCCTTAGGGTGCAGGAGGGTAAGGGCTCCGCCTGAGGGTGTGGGCTCTGTTGTGGGGCCAGGGATGAGTGATTTGGGGTACAGGAGGGTGCTCCAGGCTGAGACTGAGGGGTTCGGAGGGCAGGAAGAGAAACAGGGCTGGGGCAGGAGGTTGGGGAGGTGTCTGAGGGCTCTGGCTGGGGGTGCAGACTCTGGGGTGGAGCTGGGGATGAGGGGTTTAGGGTGTAGGAGGGTGCGCCGGGCTAAGATTGAGGGGTTCGGAGAGCGGGAGAGGGAACAGGGCTGGGGTACGGGGTTGGGGTATTGTGGGGGTGAGGGCTCTTGCTGGGGTGGGGCTGGGGATGAGGAGTTTGGGGTGTATGAGGGATGCTCTGGGCTAAGATTGAGGGGTTCAGAGAGTGGGAGTGGGAACAGGGATGGGGCAGTGGGTTGGGGTATGGGGCGGGATGAGGGCTTCAGCTGGGGTGGAGCTGGGGATGAGGGGTTTGGGGTGCAGAAGGGTGCTCCAGGCTGAGATTGAGGGGTTCGGAGGGTGGGAGGGGGATTACGGCAGGGGCTTGGGGCATGGGGGGGTGAGGGCTCTGGCTGGGGGTGTGGGCTCTGGGGTGCGGCTGGGGATGAGAGGTTTGGGGTGCAGGAGGGTGCTCTGGGCTGGGATTGAGGGGTTCGAAGGATGGGAGGGGGAACA